AAACAAAACTTGAAATAGGATGACAAAGGATGACAGAAAGGTGGTCAATTAGACTCAAAACAGCAGAGAGATCAACTGCAAAGTGGTGTTATTTAACTCAATAACTCAGTCACATTACAAGAACTGAAAGTTATAAAATAGCATCAAGTAAAAACTCTCTCATCCCAGTCTTCTCTGTAGCTATTGCCTTCTTAGCTGTCCAACAGTCTCTCTATGCACACACACATATTATTATTTCATACAAGCGCATGCTGTGTATACTGCTCTGCCCCTGCTCCTTTCACTGTACACTATTTCCTGGCAATCGTTCCCTGTCCATTTATATAGATGTTCCACAGGTTTTTTGACAGCTGCATATTCCATTGTGAGGATGAACCATAATTTATTTAACTAGCCCCTATTGACGGGCATTTGGGCTGTTTCCAATCTTGCGCTATTGTACACAATGCTGCAGTGAATAACCTGGTACAGTCTTCATTTGGCACATGTGCAAGTATATTAGTAAGATAAATTCCCAGAAATCAGAATCCCAGGTCAAAAAGTACATGCATTTAAATCTTCGATAGATATTGCCAAACTGCCTTTCTTAAGCGGGGAGCCAATTTAAACTCCAGCCTGCAGTGAACAAGAGCGCCTTCTCCCTTGCAAATTTACAGAGCGTGTCATCAAAGGTCTGGGATTTTGCCAACCTGAGAAATAAAGAATGGTATTTGCATTCTCCTTATTGTATGTCAGGCTGAGCATCTTTTCATGTTTAAAAGTTGATTGTGTCTCTTTTTCTGTTTAGTGTTCATAACCTTTGCTTATTTTTCTAATAGATATTGTTCTAGTAATTCCTACACATTTCCTATCTATTAGGTATGTCAGTCACTCACCTATGATACCTATTGTAAATTTATCTACTAGTTTATTTTTTTTACTTTGCCTATGGCAATATTTGAGATGCAGTAAGATTTCTGTTTTAGCAAAACCTAATTTATCAACTTTCAACATCTTCTCATTTTTTAGGTGTTAGTTACAAAGATCATGATTCTAAAGAGAACTTAACTTTCCCATTCTTACATTGCTTCATTTTCAACATTTAACTAAATGGAGAAAGAATACAGTAGTTAAGAGCAGTAGCTAAACTGCCTACATTCATGTCCTGCCTCCAATGCTTAGTGACCTTCAAAGAGTCACCTAACCTCTCTGTTCTCAGCTTCCACATCCATAATTAGACATAACAACAACTACTACCCCACCGGGTTACTGTGAAGATTGAGTGTGTTCTTAAATGCAAAGTCCCATTGCACAGCGCACTCAGGAGACCAGCAGATAGGAGCATCTGTTTGGAATTTATTCTGGTTTAAGGCATCAAGTACAGACCCCACATGTTTTTTCCCATATGGCTATCCAGTTGTCCTAACATCATTTCTGACTATTCCATTTTTTCACCACTAATTTGAGATACCACCTTTCCCATATGCCACATTTAAAAACTTAATTTTTTTTCTTGTTTTGTTTATCTTATCTGACCATTTTGGCTGGTATCTACAATACAATGTAAAAGCGTGAGTAATCACTCAAGCAGTCCTAAAAACTGTTACAAGCCTATAAGTAGCCCAGGAGAAATTAAACATTAAAAAGCTCGAAGGTATGAATCTTCTTGCAAAATGTAAGTCTACTAAATCGAACTTAATAAAATAGTAGAACTTCCCTTAAGAATACAAAAAGATAAACCTAAAAGGCGGGGCGGGGGAGCAGAACACTCAAAGCATTTGTTGATTGAGCACACCTATCACTAAGCCCGAGGTAGAGCCCACATCCCCAACTTGATGCAGACCTCAGGTGGAATTCCAAAGTTTGCTCGCAAAGCCTTGAAATCAGCCTTAGCGCTGAGATGGCTACCGTTCTGTCACTTTAAGCAAGTAGACTATTCTTGCTCTGCTGAGTGTTACTTTCAAGAACAGCTGCTAAAAAGTGGCCAAAAACTTTTTAACATCTCTACAGAGATGTCTTTTTTTTTTTCCTTAAAGGTCAACTTTACAATGAATTATGGTAACAGAGCTCTTAATATTGACGCATCCTTGCATTGGTGATTAATTCCCACTGATAAGTTCTATTTACTCATTTTTATTTAGCAGTTTATCTCAATATTCACATGTAACCACTCTGTAGTTTGTGTGTGTGTGTTTGTGTGTGTGCACTCTTTGCCAGATTTGGCTACAAAATTATTTTTTAAAGATTTATTTATTTGTATTGGAAAGGCAGATATACAGAGAGGAGGAGATATAGAGAGGAAGATGTTCCATCTGATGATTCACTCCCTGATTGAGTGCAACGGCCAGTGCTGTACCGATCCGAAGCCAGGAGCCAGGAACGTCCTCCAGGTCTCCCACACGGGTGCAGGGTCCCAAAGCACTGGACCATCCTCAACTGCTTTCCCAGGCCACAAGCAGGGAGCTGGATGGGAAGTGGGGTTGCCGGGATTAGAATCGGCACCCATATGGGATCCTGGCCAGGACTTTAGCCACTAGGCCACGCCACCGAGCCCTTGGCTTCAAAATTGTTAAGGAACTTGGATATCCGATGTTTCCTTTGGTTCACATCCCGTGTCAAAGTGGACATCATTATTTGGGAGGAGAAGATTCTGACACCTCCTTCCTTCTTTGAAAATCAAGCAGCTTACATTATCTACCACTTCTGGGACCACTTAATGTCAATTATATTTTGCTAAAAATGATCAATCCATTTGATTTTACCAATTTGTTTTCAAGAGTTGAGTAAACAGTCTTTAATGCTTCCTTTAATTTTCTCTTTCTATGACTTCTCCTTCAGTCCCTACTATGTGGACTTTCCTCCTTTTTTCCCTGATTAAGCTAGTTTAGTGGTCTATACATTTCTCCCCTGACAGGTAAGTGCAGTGGTCTACACATTTCTATCGCTGCCATCAAACTGCCACCTTTTAGATTAATACATTATTCTACTGGGTTTTTTTTTTTTTCTTATTCAGGCTTTAAAGATCTGAAAAGAGAACACCTTCAGCAAGAATTTTAAATGTGTTTTCCCTCTCCACACCAAAAAGTAACACAACAAATGCAGGCAGTGAGCGTGGGAGGGTAGCAGGGTGGGAAGGCTCACTGAGCTCCTAAACTTGTATTGCCACATAGGTGATATATGTATATATCACCTCATATAAATACTGTTTTGTTTTGCTTTGCTTTTAATGCCGAGGCAAGCAAGCAGACTGTGCAAAATCTGTCAAGTTAAGCATCTCCAAATCCCAAACACCTGATCGAGAAAGCTGATCAGTAGCCAGCACTGTGGCACAACAGGTTAAGCCTCTACTTACATCTCTGGTATACACGTACTGATTTCAGTCCTGGCGCCTAGCTTCCAACCTAGCCCCCTACTGGGGAAGAGGGCATGGAACATGGCCAAACTACCTGGACCCCTACCACCCTCATGGGAGACCAATGTGAAGTTCATGACTACTTGATTCAGCCTGTTCCAGCCCCGACTGTTGCGGTCATTTGGGGAGTGAATCAGCTGATCAAAGATCTGTCACCGCTGTCATTCTGCCTTTCAAATAAATAAAATAAATTTTAAAAGGAGAAAACAAAACAGTAACATTTTTAATATAAAGGGGAAAAAGGAAGAAATCTGAAAAAGACTCTAGAAAAATAAAACAGAGTTTCTATAATTAAGCAATTCACTGGAGACAAGCTCACTTCTTACTGCAATGAACTTACATTCTAACTATAGGGGAGGCACTTGGAGGTTTCAATTACAAGGCTCTCTCCAGCTCTGTCTCTAACAGTTCGGCTCAATGAACACAAATCTCTCTTCTCCTTCAACCCTCAAGTTCTCAGAATATTGTTGAACAGCCACAGACCGATGCAAACACCACCACCTCCACCTCCAGAAAGTCAGGAACAGGGCTGCTGCACAACCCACCAACTGGCCAGCCACTGCAGTCCAAAAGCGCCCTTAAGCGCCCTTAGCAGGAACAGAGCATGCTGCAAACGAGGCGGTGCAGAGCAGGTTCAGTCCTAACTAATCACCATTAATGCTCCCATCCATTTCAGCTAGCTTGGGAGAAATGAAACAAACATATGTAAGTATGAAGAGTGGAATCTTCCCATCTTGCAAAGGGCAAATTTCCTAGGCCACAGAATATAAGAGGAAGAAGGAATGAAGCCAAAAGCATAACCCTTAACATGAAAAGTATCTGGTTTAACACTGCACACCTGGCACTAGGCACAAGTGGCTTCATTCCCAGACACTGAGACCAGGTGAGGCTCCACCCACCCCAGGGTGGATGCTCACAAAGCAGGTACAGTGGAGGAGGGTGCACTCTGAGCAGCAAGTGCACCAAACCAATATGGTTCACCATCCCTATCTAAAGGGTTTGGGGCTAGAGATACTTCGGAGTAGTTTTCGTATTTGGGAATACCTATGTAGACATAATTTGGGGTCGGAACCCAAATCTGACAAACACAAAACTCCCTTATACACTTAGGCACTAAGCCTGAACACTTGTCAGTGCACCTGCGTTTTGATTACGACCGTCACAGGAGGTCGGGTGTATGCTCAAAGTTAAGCATGTTGCAACATTTTTTATTTCGGATTAACCTATGCTATTCAAGGGAGGGTGCTATTATGGATGTGCCTGCACTGTCTGACACACACACACACACACACCGGCGCCCAGGGGAACCGGGCACAGCGCCGGGGGCGGTGAACAGAAGGCTCGGCGGCCCCCGCCTGCCCAAAGCCTGGAAACTTCCCTCCAAGTGAAGCCAGCTATTACTAATTCTTTCGGCGTCCTGCATTGTGGAAGCACAGCCAGCGCCTGCTGCAGCTCGCGGAGGCCTGCGCCTGCGCAGACCCCACACCTCCCGCCAGAGGCGGCCCGCGGCTTTCCGCCCCCGCGGCCCCCGCAGTACCGAGGCGCCGCCGGTCGCTCGTGCGCATGCGCTGCGCCGACGCCCGCGCCCCCCGGCGCACCCCGTTCTTACCCGCGACTCGGATCGGTTCCTCCCGGCCCGGCAAAGCCTCCTGAGAGCTGACGATCTTCGAACCGTGGTCCCCCATCTTTGGGATCGAAAGAAAGCTGTGTAAGAGCTGGCGTGCCGTCCGGGCGGCCGAGAGCATAGGCGAGCCCTGCTGAGGGACGTCCCGAAGTGAAAACCGCTGCCCGCGCAGCCTGCGGCGTAGAGCGGGGCGGAGACGGCGGGCGCCCGGAACCGAGATTACCCAGAGCTGGGGTGCTCCTTCCCCGAGGAGGAGGGCTCCTGGTCGGAGTCGCGCCCGGCGAGTTTTGCCCGCACTGTGCTTCGGGCCAAAGTTCCCAGGCGGAGAACCAGCGCGCTAAACGCGCGGAGTACGTGAAGCGGTAGAGGCCAAAAAATAATAATAAATAAAATAACGCCTAGCCCGGTGGAACAGTTGTGGTCCTTTTTTTTTTTTTTTTAACAGTTCGTTCCCCTTCTGCTCCTTGTTTAGCAGTTACAGAGTGTCCCGGGACTAGAAGACCTTCCTGAGGTACAGCAAAGGAAAGTTCCTGACAAATGATCAATTAGGCAACTCATGCACCCCCAAGTAAGCCAAGCACGAGGTCTCAGCCGGTGCGGAATAGGGAAAATGTATCCATCACATCTGTGATACACATACACAAAGAATACATTTTACAGCCCATTGCACAGGGGGCAGATCGAGGAGCAAGGCACCCATGCCCCATTCATGCAGTTTAGGAGGATGGAATGGTGCTGTGGGGTCGCTCTTGTTTCTGCAGTCACGGGTGATGAGATTTGTTAGCGAAATGCATGGGTCCTGGGGCCACAGTGGCCTTAATGTGAGATTTGGGGTTTATGCAGATGTGTTACCAAAATGGGTGGGGAGTGTGGTAGGAAAGAAGGCACAACGGATTAGAAACCACAGACGTGAGAAGGCGTTGACCCCACTTTCTCTTGGTTTTCATGTGGTCCAGCTGTAATGTAAGGACAGGATTAGCTCACTGTATAGACTATGGCCAGACACACAATACCAAACAGATTAAGCCGGTATTTTGTAAAGGAGATTTTCTCTCAGGCCAAATACCCAGTCAGTAAGCCTTTCCAGAAAACACCTTCGCGTATCCATCCTCCCAGTCTCCTGAGGGCCTGGTCACTGTTAAGCATTTGAGAACATAGTTTTTCTGTGAAAGGAAGTACTTTGTATTTCTTCTAAAGTATTGCCTGTTGAACAGACTGATTGGCTTTTTCTGTGTTTTATAGTGGATGGTATGATGGTTAACATCAGCACAAAATACAAGTAAATCCTGAAGCACTTTAATGTTAAAGGGAAGCATTCAATGTGAGGTGAGAGCACAGCAGAATTACACACTCTCCTGTGGGCGCAACCAATGAGAAAAACTAAAAAGTGTTTGCAGTTTTGTTGTTCAGAATAGAATTCTGTTAATATTTTCTTTAAACTTTCTTAATGTTCTGTGTCCTTAGTTAAAATGTTTTCAGGTTCCAATGGCTATATTTTTAATCATTAAACTTTTTAAAGACAATCTTTATTTTAAAATATCTTTTCTTAAAGCAGCAATTTCCTATTACATTTGTCAAAATAGTTGAAGAAAAGCTACATTGAGTATTTTGAGGTTATTTTTTTAGAAGAGAAGTATTTTGGCCTTCATTTCCACCACTGGGATTTCCTTTTCTTGACCTCATTTCTTCTGATCTGTCCCAAAGTGAGGCTCTAGGACTTCTCGGGGGAGGAGGGGAGGCTCATATTCCACAACTGGCACATGTTTCTTTGATATTGTGGCAGTTTTACTCTGGGTTTCCTACAAATTCTAACAATATATTTTTCTCTGGGATGCAGTCTAAACATCCCCTCTAGAATGACAAAATAGACCCAAAACATCACTCTAAAGAAAATAGACAGGCCCAGTTTGATGACTCAGTGGTTAAATCCTCACCATAAAGGCACTGGGATCCCCATATGGGTGCAGGTCATGTCCTGGCTGCCCCACTTCCCATTCAGTTCCCTGCTTGTGGCCTGGGAAAGCAGTGGAGGATGGCCCAAAGCCTTGGGACCCTGCACCCACATGGGAGACCCTGAACAGGCTCCTGGCTTCAGATTGGCTTAGCTTTGGCTGTTGTGGCCACTTGGGGAGTGAAACAGCAAATAGAAGATCTTTCTATCTCCTTCTTTTTGCCTTTCCAATAAAAGTAAATAAATCTTTACAAAAAGGAAAAGAAGTTCATTTCTCTTCCATGTAAGAGTGTAAAAGAAAGGTCCACTGCTGAACAGCACTGAGCTTTGGCTTCCATAAGCTCTCAAAGGGGATTGGCAAAACATGAAGTGTCCAGTGGTTATGAATGGAGATTAATTAACCAAAACCCTGACTTAGCTTAGCAAAAGATTCTTTTCCATTTCAGGAAGTACTCTGCCCTATTCTCTGAAGACAGATACTTAATGCTGTAATCAAAAACTTAGACATAGATTTTAGATGGGACATAGAATGAGTTGCTTTAACAAAAAACCAAAGAGAGCAAATATGGGAGGTGTAAGAGAGTCATTTCTCAGTGTGTGTGTGTGTGTGTGTGTGTGTGTGTGTGTGTGTAGATGTAGGTGTTTCCCTCTCATATAATCATCCAGAGGTAGGTGAGTCCAGAACTGGCAGGGCAAATCTGTTATCCTTTGACATGATCTATGTTTCTGAGTCCAAAAGGCCACGAGAAGGACCTGCCATCATGTGTCTACCTTAGCAAAGGCTGAGAGGAACGACACACACAACTTCAGTGATTTTGAGCGTGTGCCAAAAGTACCACATGCTCTTTGTGCTAATTCCCTTCAAATGATTAGAGACATTACCCCATTTAACTGTCTGGAAGAGAGAAGAGGAAGTTCTTTAATGGCGAAACTGTGGATCCAGCTAACAGTAGTTTCACAGTTCTGGTAATAAAGGGAAAGAGTGTGAATGTATTTTGGTAGACTGCTCTGTCACAATCCACTCCTTTGCATGCTCAAACATCCATCTATGCTTTTGATACACCCTGATCCAGTGGGGGAAAACCGAAAGTCCCAAGTGGTTATCTCATCCAGCTAAAAGTCCATGACTTTGACCCCTGGAAGTCTGGATGTAATTCCTCAAGTCCAATGACCTGTAAAGCAAATAGTTACCTATTGCTCCCACCCTCCCCCAAACACCCCCTTGTACAACGGCAAAATAGGAATGTGAAAACCAATTTGAAAAAAGAGGAAGGTTGAAGAGTAGTCCATAGCCTGTTCTAATAGGATAGTACATTTCCAAGACAACAACATACTGAACTAAATTCATACTTAGGTCCCAGCAATACTTTCTAAAAGGGACTCCTTTATTTGTTGCATTCTAAAGGTACCAGTTTTACCCACTATTCTTACCTGCAAGCCCTGATTTCACTGAAAGGGTATATTGCCCTGGCAGCCCACAAAACACAGCAGGTTGAGTTGGGAAGGCAATCTTCTTAATAGGCTCTTTCCTGCTTGGCTGGCTCCTATTGTCCAGCAGAGAACGCATTGCTGATGGCCCTTGAGAAGGGCTTTGGGTCACAGTTTATCTTCCACTATTGGAAGTATAGCAGTTCTTGGCTTTATCAAAACGAGAAGGCCCTAAATCCCTGCTCTCAGCCGATTTTTATCGGAGACTGCGGACAGAGAACTCCAATTTTAGCAGCGCTTTATTGCCTCCCATCTCTGTTCACAAAATGACTCACTTTTTCTTGAATTCATCTTACTCAAAGGGCCTGGCAAAAGGAGGCAGCAAGCAACCAGTACTGTCCCTGGCCAGGATCTCACCTCTCTGACCATTTCCCCAATGCTGCAGACTCAAAGAGCAGCCAATCTGCCTTCCGAAGAATTGAGTTGACAACTTTCTTTCACATGTTTGCAGTGACATAAAAAAAAATGTGACCAACTTTCTAGCCTGTCATAGCTATGTGCTTGCTGTCTCCTGCCTGTCAGTTAAATGAATAGCACACAGTTTAAGTTATTGTTAAAGTCTGAAGAAAAGATACCAGAGTTAGTATGTTTAGCAATATTGCAGGACTCAAGATCCATATTTCAAAATCTGTTAATGTTGTACTCTAAAAAATGAAAATTTAAGTTTTAAAAGTACTATTTAGTAATATAAAAATCATACATTTAGGATCTATATATGAATAAATATGTGTTAGACCTGTACATCAAAAAATTAGAAAACATTTCTAAGAGAAACATTAAAAGATCTGAATATACCACAGTTAACAGTTAGGAAACTCAAGATTGTTAAATGCCAATTCTCCCTTCACACTGTTCTATCTGTTCAATACAATTCCAGTGAAAACCCCAGCCAGCTTACTTGTGAAAACCAGCCTGTTGATTCTAAAACACAATGCAAATGTGAGGTACCTAGAATAGTGAAAGCTGAGGAGTGCGGATCCAGGCCAAAATCCTACATATCCTTCAGGTTCTACCTCACACCATTCCAAAGGCTTTGGTTGGCAGACCTCAGGGTATGTCCCTTCCTGCCATTGGACTTGGTGCAGGGGTAATGGGATGCAGCCACAGAAGGGAGTTGCAGCCAAGGAGCAAGGCCCTACTTGCGGGAAGCCACACTCTTGCTACCTACATTTCTAGACCAGGCACAGTTCCTGGAGGTCTCCTTACTGGGGCAGAGATGGAGTGCAGGGAACGTTGACTGAAACATGACTCTCCACTCTGACTCAGTGCTTTTCCACTTCAAAACCTTCTCCCTTTCTTCTCCCAACCTTCATTAAATAGCAGGGGCCATTAATTAAATTTACCCTAATTGTTCTTGAATGTAGTCTGACTCACAGAACCTTGGGCCCTATGTCATTCCATGGTGGGGAAATGGAATGAAGGGAGCCAGTGCTTTCCATTTTGTCCTCTTAAAGAAATAAAGGAAAAAAGAAAGGAAGAAACGAAAAGAAAAAAAAATTTATTTATATTTATTTACTTATTTATTTGAAAGGCAGAATTGCAGAGTAAAGACAATCTTCTATCTACTTCCATCACTCCCCAAATGGCTTCGACATCAGGGGCTGGGCCAGGCTGAAGCCAGGAGGTTGGAGCTTCATACAGGTCTCCATGTGTTTACCAGGGGTCCAAGGACTTAGGCCATGACTTCTACTATATTCCATGAGCAGGAGCTGAATTGGAAGCAGAGCAGCTAAGATATGAACCAGCGCCCATATGGGAAGCCAGCATTGCAGGTAGTGGCTTAAACCATCAGCCACAGCATCAGTTCCCCAGTTTGTCCTCTTTCTTATACTATCACAACAGTAAGACTTGATTGTTCCTTTCCTCTGTTC